TGTTTCATTATCGTTTACATAACCACTGCATTATTACATTAATTTTATTTTCCGATTTTTACTACGACTTCCTTTGCCAACTTTCCTCTGATAGTTGTGACGCATAGTTTGATTACCCCTGTATTATATTTTCGTACATAATATTTCTTTATGTGCATACTCTTCTTTTCATATACGCGGCGCCAAGTCATTTACTAAATCTTGTCGACGTATATATAATGTTGTGTGTGTGCGCGCACGCGTGTACTTGTGGTGGTTATTTAGATTCATATCTATGTCCCTGCTAACTGTCGTGTTTACCAGCTGGTGATGGCAGCTGAGGCCCACATTGATGTGTTGATGCAGGAAAAAGAATAATTCCGTAAATAGGTATACGTATTTAAGACTCATCAGTAGTGTATGTACCTTCCTTGAAAAAAATAATAAAATGAAATGAAATAAAATATGATTCTGAATACGCTACTAGGTCTTACTGTGAATCGTAGATTGTAGTTATACGTTCTTACCAATCTTACCTATCAGTTAATTTCTTATAATACATTATAAATTATATCAAAATATCAATATAAATATTTTAAAATATTTGTGTAATAAAGACATCGTGTTTCATATGAACGGTAATCTCCTAGATTCTTTTTTATAAAATATAATAATGCTACTAAAATAATGTGATCAGACTGAAAATAATTCATATTACATATATTTACAACGTACAAATTGTACTTGAGCACGGGATGATATCAACAACAATTTTATAGGACGGTTAAAATTTTTTTTTGAATCATCATCGTAAGTATAAAATTTTTTTTTTTATTTTTTTATTTTTATTTGACATAAACAATCTATACAATTTTGCACAATAAGTTTATATGATGAAAGTAATTAAAAGACATGAAAGTTGTGAATTAAGCAGCCACCCATTAGTGACTCTTAGCTATTGATTAGTTAGTTATTATTATTATTATTATTATTATTATTTTTTTTTTTTTTTTTGCCAGATACGTTAGAGTCTAACGGTTAGACATTAAAGTTTTGTAAAAGGTCACGGCACCATTTCCTTTTTAATCGGCGGTTAGGATTTCCTGGGAGAGTAAGGATGGAAAGATCTTTTATGAGAGGGTTAGGATGAGTTTGGAGTCGTTTATGAAATCGTGTGTAAAAGATTCCTCGACTATTGTTTTCATATGGAAATCATTATGAAGAGCGTGGTTAGAAATATAGGGAAAATAAAATAATATTTTCTATTTAACGTTAAAATATGCATTTCTATTGAAGCTTTATAAAGGGCAAAAGTATATTATAAAATTGTTTTTTGTTATTTAATGTAAATTTATTTATTTTTTTTATTATTACACATAGATAACATATTTATAGCAATTTACTTTTTTTGTTGTATGGTAATAAAATTATCGATGTAACTAAATACAACTAATCTTTAATAGGTTTGCTTACACACTACATTGGTTTATTGAAACAGGAAATAATTCATTATAAGTCAGATAATATTGTTTATACAACTATGTGGAAATTCCATTACAAATCGCATTAGTAAAATATGTTAACATAACTATAACGTTATAATTGATCAATAATCAATAGATCTTTAATTTTTGTCTTATTAAAATTTAAAAATTTGTAATTATTGTTTAATATCATGACATTATAAATACAATCATCTCACAGATTTCTATGTATGACATGGTTAGTGTATTTTATTGATATAGTTTTATTATTTTTGTATAAATGGTATATTCTATTTGTAAAAATATTTTAAAAAATCTTCATACTCATAGTTGATGCATTTTTAAATAAGTAGCTTAAAGTATACACATTATAATTTTAAATATTTGTTTCATGCCTACTTAGTGCAATATAAACCATTAAGAACTAAGAAGTTCAATAAAATATACCCAAGCGTTACGTTTCATATTTTTAAATGATCTTTCTAGGAATTTATTCTAACTAACTAGGTATTTAAGTTGTTGAATTAGCTAAAAAAAAAAACAGAAGGTAATACTTATACACCTACATTATAAAATGAGTTTCCAAAAATCAAGTATAATCAATTAAAATATATCAATATTTACTAAACAAATTGTACTTTGAACTTTAAAAGTTCTGAGTAACTATTTTAATAGTCATAACTTCATAAGGAATGTCTAAGTAGATTTACTAAAGTTTTTTTGATTGAATTAAATAATCAAGTAAATAATAAAATTATTAATTAATTTATACTTGGTTAATTATTTTGCATATCCAGCTTTTAGATACCTAAACTTAAGACTTATATTTAACCTCACTAAAATAATAACACACTTACAATGTGTTATATTCATAACCATAGTGTTCCAAATTTAAATATTATGAATTACTATAACTCAATATCATTTATTATTTTATTTTATCAAATGTTCTATACCTATTAATCTAACACTATTTTTATTATAATAACATAGAATAATAGCTACCTATATGCTATCGTATTTACCTAACCTGAGTGAGTAACTTACCTACTATAGAATATCGAATCAATTAAGTGACTGTAATTGAAAATAATTTAGATTTAGTATAATAAATGAGTAGTATAATATATTGTTATAGGTGTCGGTAAGTATATACTATAAAAAAAATTATTTAAATTGAGTATATTTACATATAACTATTATAATATTTGATAATTAATAAAATTTTTTCGTTGTAATATTTAACTTAAGACATAGGTAATCAAAGTGAATAATATGCTTTCAATGATTTGAAAAATGATTAAGTACATAACAACATTTAATGTATGCCTAATTAAAATATTTACTGTAATAACCCCCTAATAAATATTCAAATTTTAAGTGATTTTTAAAATATATGTATATGTATATATATATTATACTACCTACCTAAAGATTATCAATAAAAAATTATATTTTAATAATACGATAAAATAAATTAAATAAAACAATGTTAACATAATGTTAAACTTGTATAGTCATAATCCATCATAAATGTATAATTTTTTTTTTTTACAAGAAGACATTCCTGCAGCTATTACTATTTGTTATAACTTATAACTTAAGGCATTTTTAAATAAATAAAAATGGTTTGTTAGCACTTTGAATATCAATGCCAGAGCCTTGGTGCGAATAAGTCTGGCTGTAGCCAAAAAGTAATAAATGCCGGTAACAGAGGATCTATTGTAAACGTTTTCTCGACATTTTTTAACAGTAAGTATTATGATATGAATAAGGATTATATTTTTCAAAATAACTAATATCTACCGCACTCGATATACAATTGTTGTAACTAAATAAATTTTTGTTTTATAAATGTTATACATTTTGTATACCATATAAACAGGAGCATATCCAGGAATGTTTCAAAAAGGGGATCCACATTTTTTAACGTGTAAAAATTTATAAAACAAATTATATCATAAAAAAAACCACAAACCTTTTGATTCATAATCTCATTAATTCGTAAAAGAAACAAGTATACGGACTTATAATTTAATTTATACCTAAGAATATTTTAAGTATTTTAAGTCCAGACCCCCCGCGACTAGATTCAAAAATGTTTTATCTATTAATGTTAACAGTGGTAGTAATGGATTATAGCTCACATAATTTTTTTGGACTACCAAACCCTTAAATTTTATCACTTTTCCTTTTTACATTTTAAACATAGTTAATAGTAAACAAATAATTTTATGTATAAATAATTTAATGCCGTTATGATATTCTCATGTTCAAAAAAATTATGGCAGAAAGACACATGAAATCTTTTTCACTCTAATAAAATGCACACTCGTACAATTTTCACGGCAGTTAGGTTATTGATGTACATGAAATATGTGTTTGGCGCCACCGAACTTTAAGAAAAAAACAGATCAGACATGCCTTCCGACAGATTAAGATATAGGGGTGCTTAAGTCTTACAATATAATCACTGAACTATTTGATTGTATTACACGATTTAGTTTACAACATCTATGTTTAACTTTCTAGAAAACCATACCTGATCAAAAACATACTGCGCATCTAAAGGAACCGTGAATCAAATAACCAGATCAATGGCAATCGGGCTAGATCAATATGGTATCCGTACAAACAACGTAAATCCAATTTTCGTGTTGACCAGAATGGGTAAAATCGCGTTATCAGATTCCAAAAAATCTGGACCTATAACGAAGTCGAATCCCAATGAGCAGATTCGCAAGTGTGTGTACAATAGAATTCGAAGAGTGTGCCGAAATGAAAACCCATAAAAATAAATATCATATATTATATATTTTTTTTTTTTTTATTAAGTAATCTACAATCTATACATATATTTGTACAATAAATAGGTTTTTTAAAATAGGTATAATAATTAAAAAAATAGCGTGTATGACGGATAAGGGAATGCACCCATTGGTGACACCCAGTATATATTATATTATAATACTAAATTGTGTGTTATTGCTATTTTTTAGAAACCGACGATATTGCTAATGCAGTGAAATTCATGCTCAGCGACTTTTCCACTATGGTAAACGGAACGTCTCTCGTAGTTGACGGCGAGTTATTGGCAGGATAGACAATTTCGCTGCAAAACTAAACATAAAAAATGTACATGGTTTATGTCCACGCATAAGTTGTACAATGACTAATGTACATTTTGACTATAACTGTGAATCCTAAATAATTATAATGCCTATTATGTATTTTGTTTCATACTAGTACTGCTTATTTTATGTTCTTTTAATCATATAATAATAATAATATTGAATTTTTTATGTATAAAATATAATCAAATATTATCTAAGAAATGCGCAATTGAATATTTGTTTGTGTATAATACACATTTCTAAGTATAATATGTCAAATATCATGGGACAATAAGTAATAAAAACAAGTAATAAAATGGTACACACAAAATAATATATATAGTATAGAGTAACTTCAAAAGTACAATACTGTACGTAGCTGAAACTACGTAATAAACATCAATTAAACATAGGTATACCTGTGTTTATGCAGTAGACATTTTAACTAATGTTTACAAAGACCAATATAAAAATATTAATATTCAATTGTGTTAATACTCGTATTACAGTTTATTCGTCGACAGAGGGTTGTAGACTCGGTGCAGCGTTCAGGCATATTCGATGCATGCGTGACAACGAATTTAAAATGTCACCTACCTACAACATATTATTATTATGTAATTAATTATTATTAATATCGGAATATTTGTTGTCACGACAGAACAATATTATTATTTATTATTTCAATATAATTGTAATAAATGTATTATTACATTTTGAACTACTTAATGGAAGTAAATGTAATAATATTTTTATTTTGTTTGATTTTATCACATATTTTTGTAAACTCTAATAAGTAGTGCCTATACTCTATAGTATTGAATTTATGTATTTCACTGAATAGACCAAAAAAATTACGAAATCAGCTACAAATTTTAATTTTTACCCGCATATTAAAATTAAATATGATAGGTATAATAATTATACATTATTGCTAAAATAAAACACTCCTAACAATCCTCTTTCAATAAATAAAATATATAATTAACTTGTAGTTGTGTTTGACAGTTATACGTAATTTCGTCACAGTCATTTGAGCACTTGACAATGAGACGCGTATGATATTTTGTCTCATGTAGTTTCGACGCATGCTACATTTGATCGAGCGTCATTTCGTTGCATATATATTTAAATGTATAATTTATTATAAAATTTATTTTTGTGTTTTTTTTAGAATGTTTTATTTAGATTATTATTACTATTATTTAGAATATATATAATAAAAGTATATGCAATGAAATGACACGTAATCAAATGTGGCATGCGTCGAAATTACCATGACGAAATGACGGGATACCGTATTTGACGACATTTTCAATATTTAAATAAAATAATATTAGTTATTACTTTTAAATAAATTAAAATATAATTAATATTGTTACAATGCATTCCTTAATTATGTTTCTTTTTATAAAATAAAAAGTTTTATACTTAGGATAATAATTCGATATTAGTGTCAACTACTAAACTGTGATATAGCTATAAAAAAAAAAAAGTTATAATTACAAATTAAGTTTTTTAATATGATAAATTATTTTTCTTTCTAACTAACTAATTAATATTACTTGGAATATAAAAATATTATTAAATTTGTTTTATTCAATAACATAATATTAATGTTTAAAAGTTATTTTTGAAGAGTTCAAGATCAAAAATTAATTTAAAATCATGATAAAAAAAGTTTGTGATATTTTTAAGATAAATTCATAAGTTTCTATGTATGATTGAATCTAAGTCTAAGTTATATAATTTTAGCTTAATCAAAAATTAGATTTACTTTAAATCAAATTTACTCTAAAAATACATAAACAATTATATTATTCATAAGTATCAAGTAATTAAAAATTGTTTATTTTTTTACGCTATTATATATTATTACAGATATGTAAATTTATCTTCAAAACTTATAATCAATTCTGATTTTAATTATTTTTAAAACAACTCTTATACTCTTAAGGGACATCTTACCATAGTTAAAAAAAAATTTTAAAAATTATTGCAATGTTATTAATTAAGATTGATACCTATACTTCACTTAAAATAGTTAATTATCATTCATAACTTTTAAAAACAAAATTAGTTTCTTGATTTTGAAGAGTAGAAAATATTAATTTATGATAACTTATGATAATTATTAATTATTTTCAGTTTTAATAAGCTGACAATATTTTACGTTATTTATACTACTATTAGTATTTAATACTATTATATTAGAAATTGTAATGTAACATAGGTATACTGAAATATTATAGACTTTAAAATATATTGTAAGTTTATTTTAGTTTTCCTATAGAAAGAGAAATAATATTCTACCCGTACTGTCCATCTCTAAGGCACGTGGGAAAAATAAATTTATATTATATTTTTATATATTCACTTCAAGAGGAGATATGAAGGTCTACCTTAATTTTATTGTTTTATTTAAAAACTATTTCCTTGAGATGTTAAACATACGTAGATCGTAATTTATTCTGCATTTTTTAACAAAATACCAATCCAAATAATGTTTCAAAGAAAAATGGCTAACAAAATAAATGGTGCTTTAAATTTTAATATTTATATTTATTAGTAATATCTTACTTATTTATATTTTGTATAAAAACATTAACCATAAAAGTTTTTTTTAAATATTTTAAGAAAAAACTATACCTACATTAAATTTAATCATTATAAATTAAGCGTGTGGTGTATATTATATTACATTTTATGACACATAAAATATTTTTTTATCATACCTACAAACTATAAAAACATAAAAAAATGGGATAAAAACAAAATTGTTCAGTAATAAATAATAATTATTAAGTGTACATTATGTATATTAAATTTATGTATAATTAGCTTATTCAACATAGGTTGAAATATAAAATGCGAATTACAAATACAACTACAGTGATTAATTTTTCATTTGATTTAAATTTAATTTTCTTCTTAATTTATGTGTTACTTTTTATGTAAACGCAAAATAAAAAACTGGAGAATAGTCAATGAATGTTTAAATGCCTAGAAGCTAAAATTAACATAACGTTCATAAGATTGGTATTCGTTTCTATGCGTTTACATGTATAATATGTTCAGAGTGGAAATATGTTTTAAAAATTAAAACATGAAAGTACCTAATTTTCTTATAATTTTGTTCATTAATATTACATTTTAGAAATTATATGTTTTTTTTTTTTTTAATGTAAGTGTTATAAGAATTTTTTTATACCGTGTTTCTATACTGAATGATGTAGTTTCTAAAACTAAAGTCAATCAAAATTTAAATCCTTTAATCTAACCTTCAATAGGAATTGAATCATAAACAATAAACAGTATCAATGAATCTATTCATTAGACTTCTATAAAAAATAGTCCAGTGGTTTTTTAGCCTACGGAAGATAAACGAAATAATGAAACATTCTTTATCATGTATAAAACTAGTAATTTCGTAATAGATTAAAAAAAAACATAAGTTATTAAATATTTTATCACAACATGCATTTAAATTAAGTAAGTTTAAAGTCAAATAAAACATTTACTCACTAATAAATCATTATTATCCACGGGGAAAATTAGACATCAATCAATTATCATTTTGTATTCATTACTTCGTCCTGAAAATAAGTAATGCATCGTGATTTTATTATAATTTTTAATATTTTATTTTCTGTCGTCTTATAAATTACAGTGCTTAACCAAGGACTAGGAAATCATTCGATCGAAGATTCGGATTGAATTCGAGGGGAGTCAGTTGAAACGTCGACAATCAAAATATCGACAGAAAATTAAATTAAATTATTATTATTTTAATTTATTTAAATAAATAAAATGTTTATATGATATATAAATAAAATAAAATATAGGATATTATGAATTATAAAAATCAAATAATGTATAAAATACGAAATATACGAATTATATAAATAAAATAAAATATATTATTGGGTATAAATTATAAATAAAAATAAAATGTATGAAACATGAAATAAAATAAAATTATAACGCCATATTGTAAGTAATTCATCTTAAAAACTCTATAACTGAAACGTTTCCGTAATTTTGTAGGACGTTTTGGATGCTGTTCTCTCGTAACCTATGCCTAATGAAATATTATTTTTTAATTTGATTTAATTTTTTATAGTAACTAATATTAAACAGCAAGTGTTTCAAGTCGATGTTTTGTAAATGTTGACATATTTTTGTAATTCATGAAATACTCAAAATAAAATTATATATTTCAAAATAATTATTTAATAAATACTTATATATTATTATAAAAATGATTACCTTATAAAAATGTAGCTTATTGATTAGTTGATACGGCAGGCTCTGCGAGGTACATAAGTAATCGTACACGCGCGTTGTCGAAATGATCGAAATGATTTGATTTGACCACAAAGTAGCATAAGAAAATTTTATCCTTATCTTTGTATACTAAATATAAAAGAATACCGTTCATTTTATCTCAACGTTAAATTAAAAAATTTAATTTTTTTTTTTTTTTTGAAATTTTGTACCTGTCAACATTGTAATTTGTCGAAATGTTGTACTTGTCGATGTTTCGTACCAGACCCGAATTCGAGTGGCAGTGCATGATTTGGGTCGGGAGCACGACTGTAGGCAACTCATCTTACATAGGGTCGTTTCGATCACGACATCTCCGTGACACGACATGGAATCCTGATAACTTCGTATCGTTTTTCGGGCCATGGTTTTCCTCGCTGGGTTCCAACCACGGTTCCGCGAGCCCCGATCGATTGGGCCCGCCGAGACGTCGGACGTTCAGCGGCGAGCCGCGCTTTTGACTCGGACGTTTCTTTCATCACATTTACGGTCGTATCAAACCGATACTTACATGTCGAACTGGCATCAAGTCTCTGGAGTGTTTTGTATAAAAAAAAATGACCGAATTTCGGCGTGGACGATTCAACACCCACGCGTCCGTGTCGCGAACGCACGACTTGACAAACTATCCGATAATAATACAATTATTCGGAAGGAACTATCCGATAACAATACAATTATTCGTAAGGAACTATCCGATAATAATACAATATTATTCGGAAGGAAGTATACGGATAATGACGTGCGCGGTCGACGGTTAGGGCGTCGAGGCCGAGGCGGCTAAAAACGCGAAGCCCCCGTCTGCTCGCGTTCGGCACGCACCTGTTCATATAAGTTCCTGGTAGTTGTACATTTTCACCGCGGAATAAGAACGTACCTCGTCGAGCAGGTGGCGGACCGTTTCCCCGCCGCAACCTCGTCATAGTTGGTCACCGCCGCCGATGTTGCGTACAGAACGCTGTTATGAAACGATAATTTTATTATTAAGCAGTGCCTATTGTAGGCCTCGGACCTCGCGTTTGAAAAAACCGGTAAAATTGTTTATTATTAAGTACGATAGGTTTTACCCCCAGTAATAAACTCATTTCTATAGTCTTACATAATGTAACATGCAATATGTACAGTCGTCGCTCGTTAATTCGAACCTTCATAAACTCGAAAACTCCATAAATCGAACTAAACGCTAAGTCCCCTGAGAAAACCTCTATAATTAGAAGAAAATGCATGTATTCCGGTCCCCTCGATAATTCGAAATGTCTGACGGTGGGACACACTCTACAATTTGAATTTTTATTCCATAAACCTCTATAATTCGAATTTCCTTAAACGCGATTATATGTAAGTTCATATGCATGTACAATGTACATACATATGAAGATAACGTACAATGTATTTGACATAATCGTAATGAAACTTATAAGTTATAACTAGGGATGAGAAGTTATAGGATTTGCATATTTTTTTCTGTATCTTCTATTTATAGCTAGGTGAGCTAAAAATCTGTTTTATAACCTAATGAATCGAAATTTGGTATTTAAATTTTGCATATTTTTGCATATATTGATAGTTTTCTTAAAAGTTGCATATTCATGTTTTTTTTGTGCATAAAAATGCATATTTAGTAAAATTATGTGGAATTTAATACAACTGACATGAAAAATGTATTATTTTATAGAATTGTATGTGTTCGTAGTCTGCAATAATCAATAAAATAAAAATGCAGATAGCAAATTTTAAAATTGTAGAATTGTAACATTTAATAGTAGGTAGGTATATAAAAGTAAATCTAGGATTAGTATCTTATCTAATCGTATATTACTCAATTAGTCTGACTAATGACAACCGTTGTTGTATAATCTAATCGTTTATAGATATATCAATATAATAATATGTGAGTGTTTGACGTCTTAACGTTATTTTAATTCAATTAGTCTATCAATATATAATCAATACACTTACCAATCATTTTTATATTGATTTTTATACTATATATTTATTTTTATATTAATTATTTTATCACTCAGTTAAAAATTATTTATATTAGAAACAAATTTAATGGAATATTATTTATATTAATTTATTTTAAACATGTTTTTATTTATGGAAAAAATTGCATATTATAATATATTTTTTCCATATTTTTAAATTTTTTATGCATATATCATAATTTTTCCTTGCATATTTTGTCTATTTTAGCTCCTATAACTTCTCATCCCTAGTTATAACGTTGGTGGTTTAATATTATCGTAGTTGATAAACGTTATCGTACCTTACCTACCTAATCTAAACTTTTGTCAGGATTACGTCAATTTTTTGAGTAATCTGAAATGAACGAAAAAAGATGCGATACAATTTTCAATGCTATCAATAAGTTAGACAACGCTATGAACCAAATTGTGGCCACTGGCCTGCAATTTATCACAAAAAAAAAAAAAAACAGATTTCTTTAATATGTAAAATATAATAATAAAATAAATAAATATCAATTAATAATTATAAAATATAATAATATATATATGTATGTATGTATATTTTGTATAATAAATAGATGTCAAAATAAATGTAAAATGTACATACATACAATAATTTTCTCTTTAATTCGAATTAATTATTTTCCCTCAATTATTCAAACACTCGGTAAATCGAAAACCTCTATAAATCGAATTTTTAACTTGGTCCCCTGAATTTCGAATTATCGAGTGACTACTGTATATTACTTTTTTTCTAGATGATAATAACTTTATTGATGTGAAACATCTATAGCCGCACGTAAAACCGATTTCTGGCGTCGCCACGCTATGTGATGGTATATATACAATATACATATATATACAGTCTATATGCAGTTAGTGTGTACGGTGAGGCAATGCGTCGCCATGCGCAATCGACTGTGCGATTCTCTGCCACTCGATCCGGCGTTAAGCCATCTCAATCCAATTATATCATAATAAAAAAACAGCATGATATTCATTATTATTATAATTAGTTAGTTTTTGTTATAGTTATTATTTTATCATATCATTTATATCTCAATCCAAGAGAACCTACCACCAGATACGGAACAACAATAGATGCTGTATTTATTGGATATCTTGATGATGTTATGTCCAATACTTTTATAACATACTTCAGCTACCATAGACCAATTGTCACAGTAATACCGTCGTCAGAGGCAACATCGAATGTCACTATTACCGAAATCACTGATTAAACGAATTAAGTAGTCACGATTTGAAATAAATTCGTAAATTTTTGTATTTAATGAAAATAAATGTTTATTAAATAAACAGTCATCATTATCTGAAAAAAAACCGTAATATTTTATTTTATCATTATGACATACCTATTTAGTTCCTATTGCAATCTGTTCTTTTCTGCATATTACTATTACAAAATAATGTTGATGTTTCACATCTGCCAGGCGTCCAGTGACAGCTCAGGTTTTTTATTTTTCCTTTGTCATTTCATGTTATAAGTTTAAAACTGTTATCAATAAATAATATTAGTTTTAAACACATAATCTATAAAATATTATGTATTTTTACGGTCCACTTTAATAGTAGTTTACAAAAATAATTAAAATCATTGAAATTATTATTGACTGTTGCGCATTACATACATATACCTTTTAGCTTATAAATTATAAAATATTAATGTATGATTAATGATTGTATACCAGTTGAAAAAGATCCCACTGGGACGCCAAGTGCCCTATTCAACTATAAAGCGGACTACAGCTGTCGAAAAAATATTTCACGAAATAAATTTAATTATGCAGACCTATCCAAATTTTCTGTATTTTTTTTTTTTTTTTTAATTGTAAATCTAAATTTTTTTTTTCATTTTTAAATTTATTACTAGGTGATACCCAATAACAGTGTCGTAGCCAGGGTGGCACGTGCACCAAAATGTGACTTTCATTCAGTGGCGTAGCGTGTGCGTATACTGTGTATGCACAGCATACACTTCAGAAATTGAAAAAATAATTTTTTTTTTATATTAATAATGTAATATTTTTATAAAAAAATTTTTGATTGTATTAATTTAGTATTTCATAGTATAATATTTTGTGGATTTTCTTTTAAGTTCATTAGGATTGATTAATCCGCAACACTACGGCCGCGTCGCGCCATAGTCCGCTAGATCTAATGGCAATCTAATATCATGTTCGCAGTATGCACGTTGGCGATTGCATGCGGGTACAGACATTCAACGACGGTTATTTATAATTTCTCATCGATAATATTAATAACAAAACATGGAATGCTCGCGGTCGTGTTTTCGTCACTCGTGTATGTACGATCAGTTTCGCATACGAGTCAGCCGTCGTCAACCGCATTATTCTGCCGGCCATAATAAAACGTGCGTATTATTAATTGTATAAGTATCCTTATTGTATAAACTTTCCTCACTAAAAATTAAAGAATTGATTTAATATATAAGTAATGAAGGTGGGCAGGAACTTTCGGTATATTTTGCTTCGAGCGTATTAAGTAAATATTGGAAAATTAAGACTATCAGACAATTTATAGATGATTAAATTTATTCGTTTTATTTTTAAGATATGTTTCTATGTGTGGTAAATCTAGGTCCAAGTTTTTAAAACTAGCTTAATCGAAAATTGGGTTTACTTAAATTGAATTTACACATTGCTCATAATTTTACTTTATAGTTTATAGTTTTACATATCTAACAAAATAAATGATGCGTTTACTTTAAATATTTATATTTATTGGTAATATCTTACTTATTTTGTATAAAAATTAACCATAAAAATTTTTTTTAAATATTTAAGAAAATTGATAGTTTAAATTTAATCATTACAAATTAAATGTGTGATATATATTATATAACATTTTAGCTCATGAAATATTTTTAATATACCTACAAACTAAAACACAAAATGGGATAAAACAAAATTGTACAATAAATAATAATTATCGAGTTTACATTATGTATATTATATTTTATTACGAATTACAAATACAACTAGGTACAATGATTAATTTTCATTTGATTTAAATTTAATTTTTAACTTAATTCATGAGTTACTTTTCATGAAACAACAAAAACTGGAGGAAAATTCAATAAATGTTTAAAAGACCAGAATTAATATAATATTATCATGATTGATATTCGTCTTTATGCATTGTCATAAAATTAGTTCAAAGTTAAGAAGAAAATCACTGTTATAATGTGTTCATGGAGT